AGTGAAGAGCTGGTTCAGTGGTTGCCAGTACCGACTGACTGGTGTCTAGCCATTCCCCTTCTGAGAGCAGAAAAGCTGCATGCCCGCATCTGATAACGCAAATAGAAAGATTTCCCCCACAATGCACCACTCTACCACCCACTCATAATTGTTTTGTGAGTGTGTCTGGTGTATGTGTGGCGCTCAAGGTCTTGTTTTTCATTACGCTCATATTGAGCATTAAATCAAAGACTTAATGGGGAGTTCATACGCACTGAACCCAGTTGCAAAGAGCCATATGACAAACTCTCTGACCAGGAGGGTTGAGGGGTGTCTGTACTCCCTAATTATATCGTTGTTTAATATATGAAAGTAATATGTTAAAATGGTCAAAATATTAAAGCAAAATATTTTTTCCTGAAAAATGAACAATACTGATGCAACACTGAAAAACAGTTAATTTACAATTTAGACATTTGTGAGACAAACCCATCAACAGTAAGTTTATAACATAGTCTGAATAATAACATAGTCTGATTAATATGGGTGCCTGAATAATCAGACACCCTGACAACCACAAAAGTAATTGTATAATTTGCACATTGACTTTCACAATTGAAATTTGGTGATATCCGACACTGAGTAAGTTCGTCTTGATAAGGACATTGGTCTTTTTGGCAAAAGTTAAGCTTTTAATTTTTTTTCACATGGCTTCCCTGACATGAGGATTTGATAAGATCTGTTTAATATAGACAGCTACTTCTTTGTCTTTGTAGGTCACCACTCACCACTCTTTAACGGTGGCCATGGGTCCATTGTGAATCAGACTGAATTTATTTCTAATTAATTAACTACGCACAGACCACAGACTAGTGGTTTCCTCCCTTTCCTCTTTCTTTCAGTCTCTCATAGTTACTGTTGTACCAGGAAGTTTAAGTAGAGAGAGTTACTGTAGGTATAAAACATATTACTTCTAGTCCCAGCCTCAGTTTGTCAGGATTGTGGCATTAAACCTTTGAAAGATCTTCATAGCTTTGTTTGAAGCACTTCAGAACAAGTTAGCTAGATGATCAGAATTCTCATGTCTCTTAAAATGGTCTGTAATTTGTGCCTTTTGATCAGAAACTTTGATCACAAAGTATGTATGCTTTTTTCCCGAGAGGAGATGAGATCTGGACCACATTCAAACCTGTCTCTTACATAAGCACCACGGCTCAACACTTAACAGCTTGACTACCTTCAAGTTTTTTGAGTGTGTTGAGTAAAGCTGTTTTACAGATTGTCTCTTGGAATGAAGATTGTCCTTTATTGCTAAAGAGTAAGAGAAGAATGAGGAGAGTCTCAGCATACCAGGCCTCTCTCGTGGTGATGACATGGGCTGTAGAACAACGGCGTGCTGGCATGACGCGGGCTCTCTGCCAACATCATTGGGCACAGACAGAAGACTTTTCACATGGAATTAATGTGGAGGTCTACATACACAAACACACACATTTCAGAACTATTTAGCTAGTACAAAACATATTTAACTACGAAACTTTTTTTTTTTTTACTGATTTATAAATCATAGATTTTGTCTACATTTCCAGTGAGAAAAAAAACTCTTTTAATATAAAAGTAACAACATCTCATACAACATTAAGAGAACACATGTAACAAATGTGTTAACCATCTGCATACTTATGCAGATATACACACACCCTGGCAGAAATAGGAACAGTATACGTTGTCTGTATGTTAACATGCGTGCGCATATGATGAAATATGATCGCCAGCACTTGGCTTTTTCCAGACATTCTAAGTGTATTTGGCCTTGTGGTCAGAGCAGATCTGAAAACATCACAAGCAGTGCCAAAGAGGAATGTCTGCATGTGTTTCTGCATATGTACCTTAGGTCCATGAATTTCCTCCACCCAGTCTCAAACCCCGGGATCGAATTGGCTAAGCAAGTTTCTTTGACCGTCCCCAACTCAAGCACCTGTGAGAAAACCCTAAAAACTCCCAAAGCCCTTTATTTTTGCAGGTGTTAAAAGTGTCTACAGCCTTTAATTCCAGCATTGCTTATTCGTCTGAAAGCAGAAAAAGGACAGAGGTGTTTGACCGCATGTAAATGAAGTAGCTTATGTTGTACACAACCTTATGTCTAAAAACCACAACATGATGTTGCTTTGAACATGTTTGAATATTTATTTCACTCTGCACTTAAGACTTTGTCCAAGTATTTGGAGTTTGAGGAATAAGTAGATTTTCTGTCAAAGAAAAGCAAAGAGGCCCTGGGGGAAGATCGAGGAACGTTGTTTTTCAAAACTTGCTTGTTCCCAGTGGTATGATCTTACATATTAAAGGTTTGGTTTATTGTATGAATGTATACATGTGTGTGTGAGTATGTGTGTGTTAGAACGAATCAGTCACCGCGGCTGCAGTCTCCTCTCTCGCCAACCACAAAAAACCCATACGCCCCCTTCTCTCTTTTGCTCCAAACACCATTCCAGACATTTGGGTGGTCGGCGTAAGCTTAGCTTTGTTTTTCTTGCTATTCACACATTTTACAATCCTTCAAGGGGAACTTTTCAAAGCTCCCACCACAACTTTGAGTCTGATGTTTAGTTTGCTTTGATTTGAAAATATGTATTTATTTTCCCCGCTATTGGCTAGATGATGACAGCTGACGTGTGTTTTGCAGGACGTGTGACATTTTAATGAGTCGGCCATTTTGGGCTGAGTTCCCAGCCTGGCATCCATCCCTTTCCTTAAAGAAAAAAATACACTGGTTTAGATGCATACCAAACTAATGTGCATGTAGTTTGTTGTCCATACCAAGGGAAACCCTCTTCAGCATAAGTCTTCAGTCTTTTGCTTTCAACCACAAAAAGTGTCTCCATTATAGTTCTCTCGTGAAGCAAAAAGACATGAACCAAACTGTTATGAAAATGTTTTAGCCAAACCACAAGTGAACCTGAAAAATCCATATAATCTGTCTCCAAAATGTCCACATACTATCTCTGTTCCAAACCCTAGTGAGCCGCCTACCTAGAAAGCATTATAGTCTCAATCCCAATGTAAGTTCTTCCAAATAGGCTACAACATTATGGTACCTCCTAAGATAACTTGTTTTGGCTAAATCCTTAAGCCCAAACTATACTTTTTTCATATTTTATGGTTTGTATATTTACAATTGTCAAAGTATTGTTGTTAGCTTAGCAACGTGCTAACATCAAACTCTATTCAAATTAATTGAAAAAAATTAAAAAATTCAACTTTAAGTGTTTGTGCTGCCTTAAAAATGTACGTTTAGGTAACTTAAATATCCAAGTTGTAACTTAGTACACCTTCAGATTTCATGTTGACTAAACATCCAGCGCTAAAACTTGCTCTCTTTTTTTTAAGTTGAAACAATTTTTTTTTTTTTTTTTACAGTGCAGGTTTCATGATTGTTAGGATGTAGGAAGCAAGACGGCTCGCTAGTTTTTGAAAAGGACTTTAACAAATCACACTGATCCCGAATTTCCAAAGTTCTCACTGAAAAGGCACCTATCACCCTTGTTCTTGTTAAAACCCAACATTACCCTTTACAATTTGAATCCCTCAATAAAACTAGCCTATAAAACCAAAGAGACATGGAATGCTAGATTGGTTTCTTCTTCATTGTAAGGTCTTATCTGTAATGAATTAGTTCTCTGAAGCTCTACATACAGTATTGTTTGCGTTAAAGCTTTGCTTAATGGCGTTAGGCTGCATTGTCTTTAGCTGTTAAGCTACTTTGCACTGACAATAGCACTGAACCCGAGCAAAAGGGAAGGGAATCTTCTCTTGCTATTGTGCTGCTTCGCAAATTACTTAATTAGCAAACACGCAAACTGTCACTTCAAGACAATGTGTATTGGATACACAGTGCATTATGTGTGCTCTGTGAGGTTTTGTGTACACGGCTCTTGTAGTAGCAGCACTTTAAGCTAATGCTTTGTTTAGAAGATTAGATAAAGGCTTGAAGAACTTCCTAGTTTGCCTGTTGGTGTCGATTTTAGTTAACAATTAATTTCATCAGTTCCTTCAGTTCCTAATGCTATTTTGCTTAGTTTTAAGGCTTTTCACACTTTGTTTTCATGCTTTTTACACTGCAATCAGTATATAAATTGTTTTTACACTAAAAGCATCTAAAAAATCCTTTAAACAAGATCAGTTTACTTGAGATGCAATATTTAGTTTCAAAGAATATATCTTGAATTAAGTTTATTTTTCCAACTCCACTGGCATTTTCTTTTCTTTTTTTCAAGCATTTATAAATCAGAAGTATGCTTCAAAATAAGAAAAGAAAGTTGCCAGTGGGCAAAAAAAAACCGAATTCTGATTTTGCAGTGTATTTTTCACTTTATATTACGCTTCATGAACGCTACGCTTCAAGTCATGTGAAACATCCCTGCCCTCTCAGGTAAGTGTGTATCATGACACGCCCTATGGGGTCTGTGTGTGTTTTTTGCGTAGTCATGCTGCCTTCGATGGTGTTGCATAAATCGACAGTGCAGCCGTACCAGCGAGGGTTCTACTGCGCGGACGACAGTATCCGCTACGCCTATAAAAGCAGCACTGTGCCTTCTTCTGTGCTGACAGCCGTGGGCCTCCTCCTGCCCATTGCCAGCGTAAGTGCCCCACAGAGGGGCCTCAGAGAGGGGACATGGGGCCAGGCGAGTGGGGCGACTGCATGGGAAATCAAGTCTTTTGAGAGAGTCATTATATTTTATAGCTGTTATGTAGCAGAAACTGCTAGTGCATTGTACCAATCAAAGGCAGACATCAACTATATTTAGCCGTGCACTCTCTCAGAAACCGAGCTACCATGTCAGTCCCCCCTCCCCTGCCTGGTTTTTCCCATAATCCTCGGTTGCCGTGTGCTGTGCTGTGCTATGCTGTGCTGTGCCGCTACCTGCTTGTGTCTTTCTGTGACTGACCTGAAATCTCTCTCTTTCTCTCTCTCCCCTCTTCTCTCTCTCTATGTGTGTGTGTGTGTGTGTGTTTCGCTGTAGCTGGCCTGCCTTTCCTGATAATTGAAACTAGCACAATCAAGCCGTACCATCGCGGGTTTTACTGCAGTGACCAGTCCATCCAGTACCCGTATAAAAACGGGGACACCATAAGCGATGCCGTGCTCTGTGCCGCTGGCATTCTAATTGCCATCCTCTCTGTAAGTTATTCTCTTATATATATTCATATAAATCTACCACTGATTCATATAAACTTCCCATCTACATCCCTCATCCCCTATTAGATCAGTAGAAGAACTGTAGAAATAAATAACTTTATAGCAAAGAATCCTCTTTAAATCCATTAACCAGTCCACCCCATCCCATCTATTCATTTAAAATATTTGAATAACTCAACATCAAGAGATTTATCATGGTCAGGGCTATCTCTATCTCTCTTTCTGTCTCAGTCTCGTTCTCATTTTTCTGTTCCGTCTTCTTTTGTCTGCATGTTTTGTGATGCATTGCTCTTTTTGTTTGACTTTTTTTTTCTCAAAAAAGTTCTCAAAAACAGCAATGCAAAGTTACTGTTAAAAACTAAAGCTTAATAAAATGAAAAACTTGTTAAAAAGACTCACAAATTTTAGAGTGTAGATCCATCTGGATAAGAGAATAAACTGCCCTACTGCTGCTGAGCTGTTGAATTAGTAGACATTCACAGACTTTGTGACTGCTGGCGAAGGGTTAACCTCTCACAAATTAACCTAATCACCCGCAGGAACACATGTAGGATGAAGAACAAGAAAAAATGCAATGCCAAACCAGATAGCGCAATTATTTTAACTTCAAAACACTGTCTCAAAACAAAAATTCAACATCCCAGACAAGCCCCTTGTGGAATAAAGTGGTGAAGATGAGGGAAGTGGTCTTGAAGTACGAGCCCCTGAAAACTGGCATATACGGTAACCAAACCATGACATCATGGAGATCCTATGGAGATATGCGTGTCTCACTGTCTGGAGTAGACATGTTCCTATGCTCAGCAATTCTCATGATTAAAACAAGGGGTGTGTGTGTGTGTGTTGGCACCCCTCACACAGCTGTAGTTAATTAGCAGTGTCTCCAGTCCTAGTTTGGTTAGGCCTCAGGGAAGGCAGCCCCACTCTTCACTACCAACACAACAGCGTTCCACTTCAGTTTAAAGAGGGCAAAAAAGAGAGAGAGATAGTAAATATCTCATTAAGGCATGGTTTGTGTACTTCATAGCCCACGCCTCTCTTCTCTAATTTATGTCCTTTTGGTTTCAAATGGTGCAGAGTCAGACCTCTGTTTTAAAATCCCATGCTCTAACTGCTCATATGAAAGCCATAACCTTTAGAAACATAATATGTTCCATATCATTAAAATATCACCAGCAATAGGCAGGCCATGCTCAGTCATAACTCACGTTACTCGTTCCCTCATTTCTTTCACTCATTTCTTCTTGCTTTTTTGATTAGTGTGCTTTCCTAACTGCAAACTAATTTGCATGTACATCTAACCTCACCCTGCATGTCCATGACCTGACCACTGAAATCTTGTGATATTATACAGTGACATTTTAATGTTTGTGGTGACTTCACAAATGTACCCTAAGTTTATGATGTTACTGGCATTTTAGCTCTGTTCCAAAACCTAGTGAACTGCCTTGCTTTTTAGTGTCTATATAGGTATCCTAACCATCATGGAAGCTGATAAGTGAGCGATTTGGAACACTTTACGTAGGCAACAACTTTCCAAGCATCACACAAATTGGATCAACTCAGTTAATTTCAATAAAGTTTATTGTTAGCATGTTGCAAAGCTAAAAGTGTTGATGCTCTAATAAGAATAAAAATACATAAACATACATGTGTAAAATCTGTCTTTTTTTAATTGCACTGAAAATTTTTATTGATAGGTTGGGTATTGATCAAATATATTTATAATCAACATCTCTGCTCATCAACCATCTTGGATATATTTGTTTCCACTGATCTTTGCGCAATCCGTTATTGGATTGGCTTTTTCGCAAAGGATATACGTATATGATGCTCTCTTGGAATTTCGTTAGGTTTTGGAACAGAACCTGTGTGTAGTAATAATCTCAGCTGTCAGTAATCTTTTGTCTTTGAAAATGAACCGTTCTCTAGATCGTGATTGGCGAATGCTACAGGATCCATTACCTGAACCAGGGCTCCAAATCTTTCGTGGGAAACCCATATGTCTCCGCCCTTTACAGACAAGTGGGCGTGTTTATCTTCGGCTGCGCCGTCAGCCAATCATTCACAGACATCGCCAAGGTCTCGGTTGGGCGGATGAGGCCGCACTTCCTAGATGTTTGTCAGCCTGACTACTCTACCATCAACTGCTCTCTGGGATATATTACTCAATACACATGCCTTGGAGATCCCAGCAAAGTACAAGAGGCCAGGTGAGATATTTAGCACTCACATGCACATGGGTTCCCTTGCTTTGGTTGAAAAATTCAGCTAAAGGAAAAAATGTCATATATTTTAGACAAGAGCTGCACGATGTATCACTTTTACATAACGCGATGTGCACATCTGAATGATTTTAATAGGCTATTTCATATTGCAGATAGCAGAGAATAGACAGGGCACACGACTGTTACTTACATGTGACTTGCTTGATGTTAAAAAGAGTTATTACTCTCTGTTCAGTTCAATTCAGTTCTCTGTTTTGGCTAATTGCACTTTATTTTATTTTTTTTATTTTTTTTTAGGAGGAGGAGGTTTTTGTATTCACATACATATACATATATTCATATGCACTTAAAATGAAACCAGAGAACAAAAAAGATGATCATGTATGTGTGTACTTGAATGGTCAAATACATACATAGTTGTGTCAAAATTCCCATCTTGGCGAGTATTCATGTAAACAAAGTCGGTTGTGTCTCTCAAGTGAACGTAAACATTTGGTGAGCCTTAGAGAATTTTGTATATGTATTTATTTGCAAAATCAACTAAATGGCGGGAACTTCCCAAGTAAATAAATGTGATGTGTTTATTTTCAAATTAAAATGAACATTTTGATTAAATGCTCATTCATTTCTTTACAGGAAATCCTTCTTTTCTGGACATGCTTCATTTTCAATGTACACCATGCTGTACCTGGCTGTAAGTACATGCACTGCCATAGTTTTGTTGATTTACTAAAAAGCCGTTCATTCATGACTGTTATGTCTAGTTTGAGAAGGGGACCCTCTATCGCCCCTCACCCTCCTCTGAGCGTGACTGTGAGGGTCACTGTTATTTTCCTTGTTCATCCCCCAGATGGACACACTCCACCTGTTTTTATTTGTGCAGCTGTATAGACTTCCTTTCTCTCTGAAGTTTTCCTTCATTTCTCTCTCATTCCTAATGCTTTATTTTTGTTCTCTTTTTGAATGGGTCACACTCTTCTTCTTTTTTTTTTTTATTCTAATTATGCAGAATCCCCAATATAGCTTTACATACACACAAAGCCAGATTTCGCTCAGCCTCCCTGGAGTCTCTCACTGTATGTAAAGCCTCTTTCAAAGGCTTCAAACTTTCTCCCTTTCACACACAATGCCCTACACTCCTCCCTATTATCTCTTCCTTTCTTCCTGCATCTAAATCATCAGCATCTCCATGGGCCCCTCCACCTTTCACTCTTTCAGACGGACGGAGGTGGAGCCGCTCTGCTAATGGAGGTGGCCAGATGTTCACTCTCAGTGTTTTGAGAGATTATTTGAGAATAGGCAAAGATGGAATTAGGAGAGTGATAGAGAATATGTGTGTGTGAGGCCACAAGTCTGTTAAAACTCATGCAGGGTTCGTTCTAATGCTCTCAAAACAGCCATTAAATTAATGTGTGATTTTGACAGCTGGGCCTGACGCCCGAAACACTGACCTGAACACTTCCTATACAAGAGGAAACCGTACGTTAAGAACCAGACCCCAGGCAGGTACTGTTGAGTGTTTTGTGACTTAAGCAATCAGTTTTTACACATAAACCTGCTGTATTTTAAACTATCACGATTAGCCGCAAGGTAGGAGAGATGTCAGTCAGTGTGGCACATTATTAGTCATGGCGAAAAGCAAGCAACCAGGAAAAACAGGATCCTAAAAAGCTAAATTTCCAGCTTCAAAACAGATTTCAACATGTCTTACTGCATGTACAGCATGTAGTCACTTGGCAATTTTCATCTTGATTTTAAACCCTGGATTTGTCTCTGAGGGGCAAATTGTTCCGATGTTATAAGAAACCTTGGCTAGATTTCTCACAGCCAAAGCCAAAGTTTAGTCAGACTCCATTATAAAATGTGAATAGACTATTATGGTAAGATACTGGGTGACTCTAAGATTGTTGTACCATCTGCTTTTGGCCTTCAGAGTTAAAAACAAGAGAATAATGCTCTGAGATATCAAAGAACAAAGCATGATAAGCAGAATTACAGAGCTGAAATAAACTGAAGAACAAGAGAAACGAGTGAAGGAAAGTAGGCATATCGAGCGATACCGTCTTATTGACTGGAGCGTTCCCCTTCCTGGCCTCGCTCCCTGTAATTATCTCAGTCTAGCTGTCATGCTTCATGGGTCAGACGCTGAAGTCATAATGAGAGCTCACACCAGTCTTGTGATCCCCTTTTATTTGCACACACACGTAACCCAGGTCAAACCTAGACCGTCTTTGTTCTCACCAAATTGGCGAATGAGTCATTATGGCACAAAACCTCAAGACAGAATCCACACCTGTTCCGTCAATGACACCTTCTCACTTTTTTCCGATGTCCCGATGAATATACCACCATACTCACCATAATCGTTACATAGTTACCAAGATAAATTTGCATTATGTGTAATTTATTTTCCCCCGTAATTTTAAGGTTGGCATTTTTAAGGCAAGTTGAAAACTTCTACCAAGTTGTAAAACGTTCAGCAGTGCAGCAGATAAATGTCAGTTTTAAAGCAATATACAAATTAAAACCATAATTGATTTCTCATTATCATTGTTAGATCAAAATAATTAAATGTTCTATTAAACTAACTGTAGTATTTCTTTATGAAGCAGCAGCCAAAACGTATTAAGAAACTAAAAAATGAAGTATGAAAAAAAAGAAATGACATGAAACAGATTTTTTTTTTTGGTAATGTATTGAATTGTTATAAATTTAACTTAAGTTATATAACATTCAAAGGTTTTTGTTTTTAAAGTAATTAATACTTTTGTTTAGGAAGAATGCATTAAATTGATCAAAAGGGACCGTAATTTATAATAATGTTGCAAATGATTTCTATTTCAAATAAATGCTGTTCTTTGAAACTTTATATTCATCAAAGAATCCTAAAAAATAACACAAAAAAATATTAAGCAGCATAATTGTTTTCAACGCCAACTATTGGGGGATCAGGGTAGCGCAGGACACATTACACAGACTTTTCCTGTATCTTCTTGCAGAGAAGCCAGTGAGTGAGATTAAGGTCCTAAACTTTAAACTGAACGAGTGGAGCTCACATGGTTATGCAGTTGAATGGTGTATTCAGGGGACTTTACCACAATATCCATGCAGCTCAATACCAGAGTGGCTGGTCAACCTCATGTGCTCATTGAGTTGTATCAGCATATCAGTTTGTTCTGGAGAGCAAGTGTATGTTTTTTTTTTTTTTTTTTTGTGGGCAGGAAACTGGTTATTTCCTAGCCTCTCAGTATGACCTTCAAACTCATACTCCATGAGTTCTGGTTTGGCTATGGTGTCACTGCACTTCTCAGAACACATGGTGACACAAGAAGCTCAAGTTTGCCATAGAGACCAATAGAAGAGGCGGTGAATGATAAAAGATCACAGGAAGAGTTAAAACAGGCACAAAGCCATTTTGAAAAGCAAATCTTCTACCTGTTGTTTTTCAAAGGCTTATTTCTCTGCACGTCGTGGTCATTACCATGTGGTGAAGCTGTGTTGGCTTCTCTGTAATATTTTTGGACCTGAGATCAGGATAGAGAAGGTTTCAGTGGTGAAGTTTGACTGTTTTCTACCAGAACTGTGCAAATACACTTCAGAATGACCTCGAAAACCATGCACAGCAGCATGAAAAAGACCTGCCTTTCCTATCAAAATATTGCAAAATAAGTGTAGCTTTATTCACACTCACCTTTTTTGTTAATTAACATGATTTAATATACCACATCTTGGTACTAGGGATGCACGATGATATCGGGACAACATCGGTATCGGCCGATAAAAGCTTAAAATGACCATCATCGGCATCGGCCGATATGAATATTTCTGCCGATGAGTCTTGCCGATAGGGTGGCTTGTTTCCTATGCGCACGTGACGACCGTGAACGAAGCATGAGCGCCAGCAACTTAAACTTCCAACTAGGGGTGTGCGTCTCACGGTTTTTGATCGTGGACGATTAAAATGTCTCCACGATCTGCTTTTGAAGAAAAATCATAGTATTGTGCATTCTATCAGTTCAATTCTAGCGCCTTCATCTCAACATACTGTACAACGCGACGTACATTCACATCACATGTAAACGCAGAGGTAGAGTTACACTCACGGGACACCGCAATTCACAAAAGTTCATTGTTTGCATGTGCGTCAAAGTCTTGCTAGGTAAACATGTCATTCACGTGCTGATGCACTGTTCTAACATCCGCTTTTCTGAGCGCGTTACACCCGACGCTCACAGGAACTAACAGCCGTCACAGCACCTGCATACTGGACTAATCTTTCGAGTCTTATTGCGCTGATACTGTCAAATACACACAAGGTTTACATAAAGTTGGTTATGTCTAAAGTGAAAGCAAACAGAGAAAATCTGCTTGTCAAATGCGTGTATATTAGACGCGTCGCGTTACTCGCGTGCAGTTCTTAAAGAGACAGTAATAATATTCTGCCGCTTGTCTTTAAAGAGATACTGCACCCAGAAATAAAAATTCGGTCTATCTAATGTTGTTTCAAACCTGGATTCATTTCTTTCTTGTGCTTAAATATACTATGGAAGTCACTGGAGTACAGCAACTGTTTGGTTAGCCACATTCTTCCAAATAACTTTTATAATTTCAACAGAAGAAAGAAACTTGAGAGAGTAAATGATGACAATTTAAATTTTTGGGATAACTATCCCGTTAATGTTAATAAAACAACAAAACACAGAGGAAATCACTCACTGCTCTTGACTGAGAACATTAATAGAAGCTTTAATAAGCTTTTTTTGCACTTAAAAAAAATACAAATATATCGGTATCGGTATCGGCATCGGGCAAAATTAGTTTGAAAATATCGGCATATCGAATATCGGCCAAAATCCTATATCGTGCATCCCTACTTGGTACCTCTTGCTTTTTCTGTTTCCCATCCAAAGTTGGACTGAACTTGCAATTTCATGGCTGCTTGTATCTGAAGAAGTCGAACAAATTAACTTTAGGCTTTTATTCGCATATAAACATAGCTATCACTTCTGAAGACTTGTTTTGGGATTATTATTTTTTAAACTTTTTAATTGAATGAATGGCACAGTCTTCAGAATTTCTCCTTATCCTTTTTTGAACAACATGAATGTAAGTAAAATGACAGAATCTTTTAGATCTAATCCTTTAATAGCCCACCAGGATCTTTTCTATTGTCCCATTTGATGCCTCTGTATCAGATCTGACGATAAGACCCAGATTGCCTTCGGGGAAGGGACTGAATGGAGACTGTCAGCAGGGATAGAGCATCTTATCTGCAAAAGGCTGTGTTACTACTCATGTGGGCACAGGGCGTGTGCCCTGAGATTTAAGGGCGTGTATGTGTTTGTGTTTTGGGTTTGGATGTCGCTGAGGAATCTAAGACCGTCTGCCAATCCTGCTGCCACCACCTCACAAAGCACTGAGATGAGATAGCCATATACACAGCATCGTCTCTGATCGCAACGTCTGTGGCACGTTTGGCTTATCTAAACTGATAGCAAGACGCTAAGAGGCAGATTTGATTGGGTTGTATCTGAGCCCTGATGGTCCTCAGGCTTTGCTGCTCTTATCAGCTCTTGGATGCCTACGTGTGGAGAGGGACCCCACTCTTGCCCTGAGGAAAAGAGCCACTTTAAGAGTTTGGAGAAGTCACAGAGCTCATCTCTACATCTCCATACTCAGACATGCTGGCTTACA